GAAAAACAAGATAATAATAAATGTCATGATGTCTCCGAGAAGTCATGATAAACATCATTCACATCGTGTGCGATCGAGAGATAGAGATTCCAGAATGCACATTTTTTGTTTTGTCCCTAAAATTTGGCCGATCGATATTTCGTTCCGTTGGGGGGGGGGGGGGGGGGTAAGGACACCTCTTTTGGGTCACCCATTACCACATTATTATTATTATTTTTTTTTTTTTTAATTAACAAAACAATTAGGGGGGATTTCCTCCAAAATACACAAAACAAAAACAAATTGAGGGGGGAGGGGGTTCGACCCCCAAAACCACCCCCCCCCCCCCTGCGTACGCGCCTGAGGTTGCTGTATCTCAATACCATATTCTTTGAATGTTTGTACGCATATTTGATTTGTTTTGTTTGTAATGTAAAGAACTAAATGAATGACAGAGATTAGAACAAAATCATAATTCATCACAATCATCTCTCTCTCTCTTTCTATCTATTTATCTAGCTATCTCTGTCTGTCTCCGTCTGTTTGTCTGTCTCTCTCTCTCTGTCTCCCTCCTCCCCTCCCTCTCTGAATACGTCAGGAATTTCGTGAAATTGGAATTGTGCTTCAGTGTGTTTTATCTCCGCATCGCGTTGTTGTTGTGTGTTTTTTAAAAAATTTTTCAAAGGGTGTGGCTAATAAGGAGTTAATCACCGTAGTCTTGGTATTCTTTTATTTATTCGAAAATAAATGATATTGAAAATATAGTAATTCATTATATGTTACGAAACAATAAAGAAAGAAGTGCAAACAAAAGCACAACAGGTGGACAATGATGAGAAACATATAGGCACGCTAAAACAAGACCAATATCTATAAAACAAATAACCGCGATTCGGGGGCAAGGACAAAAATGATAGCAATCAATAATAAAAAGCTAGTCGTGTTACCATCCCCCTTTCGATAATCGATAATGGTAATATATCATGTTAATAGAACACATATGAAAAACAAATAAGGCAAAACATTTGTAAATCTATGTCGGCCTTTTATTTTTTTCAATGGGGGGGGGGGGGATCATGATTATTCAGACAGAACTGCCATCTGAAAAAAAGCCGTCGTGTGCCTTATCATATTACCATCTTACCACTATTGCCTAAATATATTTTATGGAATAAAATGACACACAAATCCCATTTATCAGGATAACCATTGAACATCTAGACTGGTTTTGGTTATCCCTCGTGAGAAATCAATATATTTGTCTTCGTCTCCATTTGTGTTCTCGTTCAACCTATCGTGTCAATAAAACTGTGTTAATCCTCGTTTCGTGATCAGTTCTGTAGATGGCATGTACATGTATACATGAAATGATGATGATGATGATGATGATGATGATGATGATGATGATGCTTCCAATATTGTAATAAAATAGTAATGATAGTAACAATTATTTTCTTCATCTTGCACTCGCTTTTCTTCATTGCCAGAAAACTTGTTTTTATGTTGCCTTGCATTTTTTTCTTCAACAATGGTAGTATCTTTGCCCAGGAAAAGTCTCATATTCGTGGCTATACCGCCGGAGTTACTCAAGACAAGAGTGATTTTCCATGGTGAGAGGGAGGAAGAGTATAGGGGTCGTTTTTCAGAACATAACATTTGGATATTTCATATGCCCGCTCAAACCAAGACCGGCTTTAGGTTGATCAAGACATTTTACTCAAATCTGCTCTAAAAGGGTTACATGCCCTCGTAAAGGTATATAAGTTAGAGTGGTTGTTTGTATTGTCATGTAGATTGACATATGTTAGGCCTACATCCTCTTCTTTCAAAACGGTAATCTTAGTTACTTCTTTACATTCGTTTGTTCCTCTTAGGGCGGGGTCCGGTCCAGGCAGCTGAGATAAGCGTTTCATAAAAGAGGAGGTCAATACATGTATGATTCGCTAAATTGGTCACATTGATAAAATAAAAAGCGTATTGTCAGAGTTCCGGCACTGGTAATTAGTAATTGGTAATTGAGAGTAAGGTCAGTTATTTGTAGCCAAGTAAAACGCGGCGTATCGCAAATTTTATTCAAAAGGAATAGTCCTAGGTCTTTATGAATAGGCCTACTATAGGCCTAATAATATTATTATATGAATAACTACAATACATCGCCATGTAATCATCTTCATCAACAAAACCAATAATCCAAAGCCTTGAATCATAAATAATAACATGCAATAATATAGCTGTCTCATAATGCCTTTTTTCTTCGTATCATAGACCTGTCAATGTTTAAATAACTCTTTTTGTGTTTCATATTCTACTTTCTAACTATTCATCTAAATCAGTTATGTAAATACAATGACGTAAAAGATAAATATGGAGTCAAAACTAAAACATATGGAACGGACAGACGCGTACGCGTCCGTCTCCAGCTGTACGGGTATTGAGAGGGCCTTTTTTTTCGATCCGAACACTAACTTTTTTCCACGTAACGTTATTATTTTTGTAATACATGAGATGAATTAATATATCTAAATAATACTGTAAACTGTACATCCATATAACTATACCAGTGGCGGATTCAGGGGGCACAGGGGACACGTGCCCCCATCCCCTGGTAAAAAAAATAGGGGGAAAGGGGAAGAGGGAAAGAAAAAGGGAGAAAGGGAGAAAAAGGAGGGGGAAAGAAAAGGAGAGGGAAAAGGGAAGAGAGAAAGAAGAAGAAAATAGGAAGGAGAGAAAATGGAAGAGGAGAAAAAGGAGGGGGAAAGCCTTTTATCTCTTCTCTCTCTCTCTCTCTCTCTCTCTCTTCTTCCCCTTTCTTCCTTTCCCCCTCCTTGTTCTCCTCTTCCCTTTTCTCTCCTCCCTCTTTTTTTCCTCTTTCTCTTTTCCTTTTTCTTTCCTTTTCCCTCCTTTTTTTTTCCTCCTCCTTTTTCTCCTTTTCCCTTTTTCTTACCCCCTTCCCCCTTTCCCTACCCTTTTTACCGGGGGAGGGGGGCATGTGCCCCCTGTGCCCCCCTGAATCCGCCACTGGTATAGTTGTACAGTTTCCTGCGTTCTGATTGGCCGGCTGGATAGACGTATAGTTGTATAGTTGTACGGATAGTGGCATGCTTGGCCCGCCTTATAGCCCGCCATATTTACCTCGACTAGCTCTTAACACGACCTTTAAAAAAACAAAGAAAATGCAATAAATGTTCAATAATTCATTGCATTCCCCCCCCCCCCCCCCGTCCCCAACAGGAAAAAATGCTCTGTAGGGCCATGCATTATGGTTCAAGGCATGCCCACATAGAAGATTTTGTATGTTGGGGGTCGGGGCAAACTGCAATGAAGTATTGAAAATTTATTGCATTTTCTTTGTTTTTTTGTTTTTGTGGGGGCGTCGACGTACCCTAGCGCCCGCTGCGTACAGTCATGATTCATTGGCTAAGCAAAGGCCTGGTTACTGTGAGCCCCCATGATCAAAACCGTGTCAATGTGCTATATTAGTGCCATTTTATGAGGTATTAATCCCCATTACTGTCAGTTAGGTCCCCTAGTTGATTAGCATTGTAGCACACACATGCTTTAGCAGTCACGCAAAATAAACACTCCCCAATTGTCATTCAATAAAATCTGAGAATGTATACTATTATCTAGATCTATTAGGAATAAATCATTGTCAAAATCAATCAATAAATTGGGGTTAAGAAAAAAATTATTCCACCATTATGACCAACAGTGTACATTTATGAAATGGTTTTAAATTTGATTTTTTTTTTAAACGCAACATTATTTTGTGGACAACCGTGACCTCTTATATTGTGGCAAAATAGGTGAGTGCCACCCCCCCCCCCCCTCTTCCCACCGACGAAAGTTTTGTATGTACGCCAGAGCCGAGTGTTGTGTCTTTTATGCTTTGTTTGTTCCTTAATCGGGACTGCACTACATAGCTACTTGCGCCCTCTATATAGCAAACCATTCCTAAGCGGTACCCGTTGGTCCCCTATGTTTCCCTTTTTCTTATGATAATTGAGAGATGATTTGATGATATAACCACCTGCAAGTGACCATGCAGGGAGGTCTAATCCCTCCTGGCCAAACTAGTGCAGATAGGCTTTAACTGAGCTATCATCGGTATGATAACAATTAATTTTATAACGAATTTAGTTTTGATGATCAAATGCAGTGATTTCAGTTACAGATTCAAGGTACAAATGAATATCCACAGTAGGAACAGTTTTTTAGGGTTTCACTGAGTGATTTCAAATACGGTGTTGAAAGCTGGTGTTGGTGTTGTGAGAACACCAACACCAGCCACAACACCGAACTTGAAATCAGGCTGGTGTTGGGATTGACCTCAGGAAATATGACTTTTTTCCGCTAGTCTGTGTTGAGGCTGGTGTTGAATGTCGTCTGCTGAACCGAGTATCGCGGTTGGTGTTAACGATTTACGTGTTATTTTCCCATTCACCAACACCAGCCCCTAGGGATTGGGAAATTCATGATTTCAAGTTCGGTGTTGGTGTTGGTGTTGCAGTATACCGCAGGTAACTATGCGGACATCTGGTTCGAATCTCACGATTGTAAAGTCAAAACAGAAGTAAATCATGGGAGCTATATATGTTTTTCAACAGAAATATATTTGAACTTCTGAGTTTTTGATATGAATTTACATTTGATATTCGATATGATGTAATATATTTGATTTGTAATATTCTTTATTGTATTCACTCAATAAATAATATTAATTCATACAAATTGTAATATATAACATATTGGAACCAATTACAGAGTACAAAATACAGTAATCTCAATTAAATTGAATGAATTAATATTGTTATAACCCCCCCCCTCTATATTTTGTTCTGTAGTACTAGTATCTCTATTACATATTATAATTTATAACATATTGGAACAAAGTACAGACTACAATTAACTTAGTTATATCGAATGAATAAAGTTTGTTATATCCCCTACCCCCGTTAAAAACAAAACCAACAACTACAAACACAAAACAAAAACAGAAAACAAAACAAACAACAACAAAAAAAAAAAAAAAAAAAAAAAAAAAAAAACGAAACGAGACCGGTCAATCACACACAGCTGTGAACCGGGCAGGCCCCCCTTTCCTCATCCCTTGCATTTTCTTGCATATTGTCCATGTTTACCTTGAGATGTTCCCATTTTTTATAGTGGAGCGTCAACGTATTTCGTTCAGTAGCACTCTTTCTTTCTTCCTGTTTACTTTTGAATATTTTCTCTCTTATTTCTTCAATACTTGGAGGCTTCTTTTTTTCCCTACTAATAAATATCAAAATATATTTAATTAATAAAACCACGTGATTAATCATTTGCCTATCTTCGGTTATTTCGTCTAATCCAATGTGAACTTCCTTCCAGCTCATATCTTTAAGGATTGGAATATCCAAACTATCACTACATTGATCCCATAATTTTCTCACCATTTCGCATTCAAAAAATATGTGCCTATATGTTTCCTCTTCTTTTCCACAAAATGAGCATTTATCACTTAATATGAAATGAAACCTATATAAATAACGATTGACATAAACAATTTTATAAAGCATTTTGAATTGAAATTCTCTTAGTTTATTATCTAAAGTACTAATTCTTGGTCGGACAAAAACCTTTTCAATTTCTTTAACCGACAGATTGTATGATGAATGTAATTCTGAAAACTGACAGGGACGTCTTGCATTTTTTGTATGCATGCCCTGTACAGATTCTTCGAACAAACCGATTCAAATTGGAATTTTTTTTTTGTGAACATAAATTCTATTTTTAGATCATGAAATGAAATTTGCCTCTTTGTTAATTCGATTTTCCATTCCTTAGGTATATTACCATAGATTTCTTTAAGCATTGATATTTCCTCTTCCTCTAGTCCCATACATCTGAAATAAGTTTCCGACTTTAATGTTCCTTTTCCATCTATAATATGGTACAATCTATAAGTATTTTTTAAGAAAAGATTTTCATTGAAGTATGTTTTTCCACTATTGTGTATAAACCTATTATTTAAAAAAATTTCATTCCCTTTGTGAGTTGTATCTTTTTTAATAAAATCATTCATATCTAACCAAATATTTATTAAATCCCGATAGTATTTTGGTAATTGTATATCGATCTTGTTAGGTAAATAGTTACAGTAAAAAATAAGATTTCCTCCGAAAGGTCTCATTAAAAATTTGAAATACTTTTTCCATTTAACTCTCTGGTTTCCTGTTACAAGTCTTTTAATCCACATCACCTTTTATACTTTCACAAAAAGTTGAAAGTTGAGCATTTTTAATCCTCCTTGCTTGTAATCAAAATACATCGTACTTTTTTAAATTTTGTCTTTACCTCGCCATAGAAAATTAAAATAGATCTCATCAATTTCTTTTATAACCCATTCAGGCACTGGAGTCAAAGAGCTTACATAGATTAGTTTTGAATATGCGTATGTTTTCAGTAAATGAATTTTCCCTATCAAAGTAAGATCTCTTTGTTTCCACCAATTTAACAATTTCTTTATTTTGCTTAATATTTCTTTGTAATTCATCTCTTCCGCCACATTGGGATCTAATGTAAAATATATACCGAGTATTTTTAAAATGTGTGCCTCCTTTCCAAAAGGATACACAGTCGCAGAGCCAACAGAAGATCCTAAGGGTAAAATGAATGTTTTATTTCCATTAATCTTTAGTCCTGATATTTTCCTAAAATTTTCCATGATTACCTCTATTCTGTTAATCGAGTTTATGTCTCGTACAAAAATTGACATGTCATCTGCATATAAGATCATCTTTATTTCTGTTTCTCCAAAACAAATACCTTTTACCAACTTATCATTTCTAATGCAGTGAGTTAAGCATTCTATGCATAAAATAAATAAATATGGAGATAACGGATCTCCTTGTCTTACACCCCTTTGAACTTTAAAATATCCGGTTGATTTACCCCCATTAAAAACACAACTTTGAGCATTGGTAAGTAAAATTGTAACCCATTCACAAAACATTTTCATACATTTGGTTACATTACAAAATAGGCTTATTGACTTTTTCAACTAAAAACAAAGTGATCCCTTATGTGGTTTCTGACAGAGTGGATTTCCACTTCATTGTTCTACTGAAAGAGTGCATCAAGTTATACACGTTATCCTTTTACTAACAAAGTGGTCTCAGTGATCTAATATCAACTGGAATTATCTAGTAATTAATCGAGTAATCTCTACACCAGTTGGGAATAATAATAATAATAATAATAATAGTAATAATAATATTGGATATTTGTATAGCACACATAATTTTCCACCACTTAAGGTGCTCAAGGCGCTCCAATATTACCCCGGCTCTTCTAAGCTACTGTATTAGTGCTCACAACATTCATGGAATTCCTCCCTGCCGGTACCATTTAACACCTGGGTGAAGAGTGGCAAATCTAGATTAATGCAATGTCTATTAAAGGACAGGCATTAGTTACCTCGATGGAACTCGAACCGCGAATCCTGTGATCGTCAGTCCGACGACGTATACTAGACCACCTTACACCTGTCCTGGTGATCAGATATTATTTTTTGCTGCATGGAGCATGTGTATGTGTGCGTGTGTGTGCGTGTGTGTGCGTGCGTGTGCGTGTGACTGTGTTTGTGAGCTGTTTTCTTCTTTTTTTGCACACTGACATCTCATTTTGTGCAATTTATTTAGCCAACACGAGATCAAACTGTGTTTTAACACCATGAGAAAAAAAAATCTATAATCTGGTGTCGTGTTCGCTGCTTTTATTTGCAACCACTGTACTGATTGTCTTCATCGACTTCTGACTCGCATTAGCCCTCTTCTTCTTCTGACCGATGAACTCCGTGAATGTGTAGAGATAAGGATTCAAGGTAGAGTTGATGGGCAAGATGAAGACGGCCGACCAGGCGTAGAGCGAGACAGGGAGCTCGACCAGCCTGGCCTGGGAGAGGATCCCCATGATGATGACTGGCATCCAGCACAAGAAATCGGTGCCGACGATGATGGCCATCTTGAAGGCGATCCTCACCTCCTGGTCGTGCGGGGATCCCGTTTTGCGGTCCTTCCCGATGCTGTTTGCTGATTTTCTCACCTGGACGAAGATGATGATGTAACAGATGAGGATGAATAAGAAGCAGATGAGGTTGATACCCAAGAAAAGTACTATGGAATAAATCCAAGATGGCTGGAGGCTCCCGTCATTGTTAGGCGTAAAGACAGGTATGGCTAGGGTGTGATCGTAGACTAGAGTTCCCGTCCCTGTTGAATCTACGCTCAGGGGCAGACCGATGCAGACGTCGGATAGCCCGTAGAACCCAGGCACGAATGAGCCAATCACCACGGGCCCCAGGCTGATGATGATAGTGATGACCCATGTGATGCCGACACAAACCCGCGCCGACTCGGAGTGGAATTTGAATCTGCTGAACGGGAACACGACACTCAGGAATCGATCGACGGTGATGATCGTCAAAAAGAACACAGAGCTCTCACTTGATAGGATGGCAAGGGCACCTGCAAACCTGCAGAGACCAGAGCTTCTCCAGTGCGGCGCTTTGAGGAAGTAGTATTCCCCGTAATAGGTATCAGCTGATGCTATAATGATCATGAAAATACCCATGAACCAATCAGCGATGGCTAAGTTCGAGATGAAAAAAACTTGCGCATGATTCCTCGTGTTCGATCGCTTCTTGCGGCATCGGATGAAAATAACCATGGTGTTGCCGAAGAGGGCACCGAACCCGAGTACCCACATGGCGATTCGCAGGACGTTGTTAGGCATGAGTCTGGTGCAGGAGTCTAGCGAGGACATCGAAGCTTGTGAGCATTGATCGGCACTGTCAAAGAGACAGCAGAGACGGTAGTCATCCGTCGAGCTGGGGATTAAACAAAAACGGTTCAACTTGTTACCTACGAATTAATTCGCATGCCCGCTGTACACGGGTCGTTATTTTGCTGAAGTAGGACTGCGTGAACGAGTGGTGCAGTATTTGAAGCACCATGTTCCATGTTAGAGTGACATACTAAGACGAATGCAGATGAATAGTGCAAACATTGCACTGAATTACTAACGTATACGCTACTTAATAGCGCAATTAGTAAGGCAATAGAAATGACGTCTCGCACACAACCGGCAGAAGGTACGTAGTGTCTGTATATATAGGTATTTGGATACCAATAACACCAATCTAATTAAAATATCAAGTAAATTCTTCAACCTAAAGAATCCTTCGTGAAATATTAGGATAAAAAGCGTTACTGAGTATTGAAAAAGAGAGAAAAGAAAACTGAATTATCCTTGCACGTAATTGTTCAAGACTTTACATACGTGATCTAGAGCACGCGTAGGTCGGTATGCATGTTTATTGGAGCATAATAGGTGACCTACATGAAGGCCTACTATTGTCCCATAATGAACAAAGATCCTCAAAGATTAGTACGCAAAGCTTTCACACAGACATACCTGTGTAGAAAGACTGTTCAACAAACAGAAGAAAAGTGGTTAGTATAGCCCCCCCCCCCCCCCCACTCAGTGTTATTTAGGGTACGCATATGCTCGTTTCCTCTTTTTGAAAGCACCCCCTATCTGAGGACTGCCAACATTTCCGAACCCCCTTTCGCGGGCTTTTTGCGGGCTTTTCCTGCCTTGGAGACCCCCCTAAATCATGAAAAATTCTCAATGTACCCCCCTAAATTCGGAATAATTTCTCAGGAGACCAAAGAGATGAGAGAAAAAAAAGAAAAAATACCCCCTTTTTAAAGAAATCTGCGGGCGAAAAGTTAATACACCCCTTTTTTTTTTACAATTCTCGGGCCGGACTCTGTCGCACGAAAAGTACCCCTTTACCAGATATTTTGGTAACACGCATGGGGTCATTCCGACCCCGGAGTGGGGGGGGGGGGGGGCGGGGTATAGGCAGGTGGTCATTCCATACACGTTCTTTAAGTCACATTGTTTCAATGAGAAACATTATTCGAGGGAAACAGAAAGTGTAGTCCGTATAGAGAGGAGGTCTCTAAAGCAGGATTGACTGTAATGGGAAGTGGAATCATTCCTTTGATAGCACAGTATGTTAGTGCCAATAATTTTTGTTCCTACCAGCACTCTTGGCATGCCAGCGACGGTGTAAAACGGTGCTAAAAGCAAATAAAAGGTTAAGAATAAGATATAACTTACAGGTATTGGATACTCTCGATTCCCCTGAACATGTCTGGTTCAAGATGGTTAAGCTGAACCTCCACCAACTGCCTAGAAGTTATATCAAAATATATTAAAAAAACAAAAACAAAAATAATAGACAAATGATACGAGATTTGTGCGAATGAGACTGGTTAATCGTTAGTTTGTTTCTTTTTATTCGTTTGTGGCTTTTTTTTAAAGTACAAAATCATGTATAGATCAATATTAATGAGAAGGTTGAGTTCGGGTATCAGGAAAAAGTGGTGGTGAGCTTAATTATCATGATCATTTTCTTTCGAATTCATGGCCCCGTCTTATAAACTGATTAATTACAACTTATTTGCAATTGATATCAATCGCAACGATTTACATAAGAGATAGATGACTGTAAACTTGCGATTGATTGGAGGACTTGCGACTCTTATAAGACGGGGCCAAGGACGGGGCGATGTGGCGTGCGCCTGTAATCCAGCTCATAATGGAAGTTACAAACTGATTCAGCCGAGGACACAGGTTCGAAACTGAGTCACGTATTTCGTATGGTGACGTTAGAGGTTGGTCCCCAGACGTTAATAATCATATCTGATTGATACACGTCTGTAAATATCCAAACACACACACACACACACTCACCTGTTTCATTAAACCTGTTATCAATAACAAGTTTTAATGACTATCATAAGCTACTGAAATCGTTGCATTTGATTGGCTGCGAGCAGATTCATCATGAAAAATTAGCGTTTGTTATTGATAACAAATTTTATGAAACAGGGACTTGGTATCAGGAAAGCTCTTCCCGTAAAAAAACAGCCAACAAATTCACCGCCGTGCATATGAGCTAAGTTAGTATTTGTCGCGGTCTTTCGCTTTTTACTTACAAGTTTTGGATTTTATTCGTGTTGTCAAAAGTGCCAGGCTCGATATACGACAATGGGTTACGTCGGAATGATCTGAAGAAGAAAAAAATAATAAAAGACAACAATATCGACAACAACATCAAAAATAATACCAATAATATACATACTACTAAAAATGATAGTAATAATATAATAATTAAATAATACCAAATACCATACTGATAGTTACTAATACTATTTATACCGATAATGATGTTTACAATGTTGGATATGATTAAAATAAAATCTATTTAAAGATAATTGGTCCGTCATCGACAGGGCCGGATCCAGGTTAGGGGTACAAGCTGAGTCAGAATATTCTCTCACAAGTAAGATTTGTCTTCCTTCTGTGTATTTCAGAAATATAGGTTTAAGATTTTGCTGGATTATGCGGGAGTATATTTTCCCGATTCTGTCCTGGGTAGGCTATTCTACTCTCTGTCTTCACTGCCAATAATTGTGCAGAAATTCTATTGTAACTTAAAACTAGGAATTTGCAAGCCCCCCCCCCCCTCAATGTATGTGTAGCAGGAAGATGAGTGTATGAAAGAATGTGCTAAATTTCAGATGAAAAGGTTTTCTCTCTATGAGTGAAAATGGACTCCCTCATTTTGTACACAACGAATTGGGTGAATTAAACAACGCCTGTTGGCACAATATTCATTATGAGACAAATTACAATCAAAATAATGTCTCTTCAAATTTGAATTTTGCAACTGGCGTTGTTTAATTCACCCAATTTCATGAAAGTTTTCAATTCTGATTTTTTTAAAACACCTTTTTGGCCTTTTTACAAGTTTTGAGATTTCACCATACATATCCCTTCAATATAAACGCATATACATGGACATACGCTGATTGCTTTCAAGGTTGAAGAAAAGAGTCTGAAGTAAATGGAATTTAGGGATAAAGGAAGAGATGGTAAAGCTCATATATATTGGGGGAAAATTTGCAATGAGCTTGAGATTAAAAAATATTGTAAACATACATCCATTCCACACTAGAAAGTCCATCGAGCATTCCTTTACGGAGTTCGGTTAGCTTGTTGTCCGTAAAAGATCTGTCATTAAGAAAAAAACAAGACTGGTTATACCATATATCAACATCATTCAGCTAAAAAGAATTAAATGAAGTAACTAACAAAACATAATAATAAGGAGTATAATGTATATATATGTATAAATGAATAGTAAACTGGAAGATTTAATATGTATTTTACAATCTACCTACATACATACAATAAGTTTCTAAATATTCGTTTATATGTATAAACATTGATATATCGAGGGGGAAAAATGTCTCATTAAATGTTATGAACTTTTCTGAGCAGGTTACTTATATTGGATGGCTTTGAGTGTGATACTTATATAATATTGACTGGCCTTGAGGGAGATACCACATTGCCCAAACTAGACTCATTAGTCTATTAGAACCAGGGCTCAAATTAATTTTTTGTCCACGGGGGCTCTTCCCCCCAAAAAGAGCCCCCGTGAGCCTTCTCACGAGGGCTCTTTTAGTACTGACGGGGGCTCTTTTCCATTGGATTGGTACATATGATACTCTTCAATTATTTGCTATTTCATCATCATCACTTTAATCAGCATTTTCCCTCTTACAAATTTACAAGTTACATAGCTGTTCCTGACTTTCATCCCGTGATGACATTCTCTCGATTTTTTCTCGTTCTGCACATAATTTCCTCCTCATTATTCGGAGCAACCTTTACATTATTTCTTTACTGAGCCGCGTAGCGGCGAGGCGATTTTGTGTGTGTGCTATTTTGGACAGGCGCGGATCAACGGTCCGATTCTACCGCCCCCCTAGCCTCCCAAACCGGTAAAAAAAATAGGATAGTAACGTAAACTTTACCTTACAAAATTAAATAAAAAACGCCCCCCCCCTGACCTGCCAGTGACACAAATGCGGCATCAAAATATTTGTGCTTCTCTGACCGTAATTAAATGCCTAAAATCCCTGAACCCCCCACCCACACACCAATTTACGCTCGCTACCCTCTACCTGATCGTAAATACTTTAGCCCCCCCCCCCCACTTTCATAAACGTTCACCTGAGATAGGTGAAAGTAAGAGTTAAAAAGAAAGTCAACGGCGCTTTACCTCCCCCCCCCCCCTGAAAAAAATATAATAGATTAGTGGTCCTCCTGTCCAGCATCCCCCCTCTCGCTTTAATATTTACCGGCCGGCTGAGTCGGCGCAAAAATGTTCCCAAAAAACTTGACCCCCCCTAAACAAATATATGTGCATTTATCCAGACCCCCCCCCCCCCCCCGCTCATTCGCCGATCGCCGGCTGGCTGATTCGCCGCTAAATATTTTCTCAAGATTTGGCCCTCCCCCCCCCCCCCCCCACCTCTTGCCGCCGGCTGGTTCGCCCCTGATTTTGGACCCCCGTAAGTGATGTTTTCCTGGCATCTACTTACATGCGAAGCATCGTCCACGAGCCGCATAGCGGCGAGGCGATTTTTGTTGTTGTTGCTATTTTGAACCCCCGTATTATTTTCCTGGCATCTACGTTTTTCTATGCACATCACATTTTCAACATCACATTTTCACTTGGCAGCCCAAGGGGGCCGGGGGAGGGGGGGGGGGAGGAGGGGTTATGCGTGTTACCAAAATGTCCGGTAAAGGGGTACTTTTCGTGCGACAAAGTCCGGCCCGAGAATTGTAAAAAAAAAAGGGGTGTTTTTAACATTTCACCCGGAGATTTCTTAAAAAAGGGGGTGTTTTTTTTTGGACTCCTGAGAAATTATTCCGAATTTAGGTGAGTACATTGAGCATTTTTCATGAATAAGGGGGTCTCCGAGGCAGGAAAAGCCCGCGAAAAGCCCGCGAAAGAGGGGTTCGGAAATGTTGGCAGCCCTCAGATAGGGGGTGCTTTCAAAAAGAGGGAACAAGCATAATGCGTACCCTAAATAACACTGAGTGGGGGGGGGGCCGGGGTTTCTGCCCTTGCGCGATTGCCTCCAGCTCCAGCAGACATGGCGCGGCAGCGTGCACACGTGCCGTTACTAACGGCGCAGTAGGCCTATAACCACTGCTGATGGCGGCACTGCACTGCGAGCTGAATCGGTAATAATAGGCCTACTCATAGAACGGTAAATCTTGCACGCTAATCTAAGTTCTATTTCATTGGTTTAAGGTTTAAAAATTGAAACTCAATATTGTGTTAAATTTATAACAGAAAAGATAATCTTTATTTTATAATTCCACGGGGGCGATTTTTAATTTTGCAATCGCCCCCGTGAGCTACCTGACGGGGAAGATTATGTAGCTCACGGGGGCGAATCGCCCACCGCCCCCGTGTATTTTGAGCGCTGATTAGAACTATTATTAGCCGTGAGGACATTATACCTTTCTTAGACGTCCATTACATTTTCGCGGTAAAGTTGTCGTCGATTTTACGACTGACATTTTTATTTTCATTTTGGAAGAAAGATGAGGGTGATGCATAAAGATGCGAGTTAGATTCAAAATGACTTACATGCCGGTGATTTTGTCGAGTCCACTGAATGCCCCAGTCTCAATCATGCTGATAGAGTTATTCCGAAGTATCCTTAAAAAAAGAATTAAATGTACATAAAGAATACAAATGGGAAAAATGGAAGTTGAATTGAAATGAACTAAAATGGTATTTATTAAAATAAAAAATAAAAAATAAATATACAAATCTATATCATAGTCAATTATTATGAAGGAGAGAAATATAAAGATAGAGAGAAATAGAGGGAGGAGAGGGAGAGGCGAGAAAGAAAAGCGAGAAAACGAAACAACGATATAGAGGCAGAGGTGTGACAGTCTAACGGAAGAACATATTGTAAATTGCATAATAAATGAGTGGATTCAACATATTGAATTAAAAAGCTTACTGAACTTATCACTTTTACTCAGCTCAGTCTATTGAGTGGCTATTAGAAGGGGACAAACGCTTATCATTAGCCTTTAAATTATAAAAGCATTTTGAACAATTAAATGAGATTTCTTGGCTTCGAAAGTATGTTTTTGGAAGGACGTGATTCAGATTTTTTTTTTTTTGAACTTCAGTAAACGACTTGAAATTGGTTAGATTTACGACAAACACTTTTTGATAATCTAATTAAACAAAAATATGAGCAAACTTATAATGATGATTTAAACCAAAAAATAAGTTTATAGATAATGCACATCAATTTTGCTTCTTAATAATGAAATTTTAAGACGGCGTGGAAAATATTGGAATAAAACTTGTTCATATCAAACTATACTTACAAGTCCGTTATATTTCCGAGATCCTGGAATGTCCCCGAACTTATTGATTCTAACTTATTATGACCGAGGTCTCTGTAAATCAAAATCATTGTGATATGTTTCATCAAAGTATATTATTTAATTAGAAAGATATACATATACGTTAAGGAGGAAAACAATCTTTAGAGCAAACTGAATACAAAAAATATCTGGGAAAAATATCGGGGGACTATATGCATATGTTATTACAAAAAGAGTGTTTCTGCTGGATATAATTTTCTTTCTGTTTTGCTATAAACACTGCATTGTAAATTGATTTATAATGTATTTATGTTTACAAACAGAATGTTGATTTGTAACATTAAATTGTAAATTGATTTATATAATTATATGTTTCCGAGTCGAAACAGAATATTGATTTGTTACATTGCATTGTAAATTGATTTATATGTTTATAAACAGAATAATGATGTACATCAATGGATTTTAATAAATACAATACAACACAATACATCATAATGCATTGGAAAATAACTGGAAAAATATATATCGAGATATGAAATATAGTCATGTGAAGCAAATGCGTGTAATTCAATGTGATATAAACTGATAAAAGTGAAACCATTACCCCTACTCATACAAATCCACCAAATACCACAAACAAATTTACATGATACAAAGGAAAATAAATATTGTCATGAAAATACATGTATAAGAATTGCACATACAAGAACATAACCAAGAAAAAAGTGCAAAAAATTAAAGTAGGTTAGAATCACCATTTATTCCCTTGCTTCGTTTCAAAGCAAACATGCTCTATTTAATTGAAAGTGTCACCTCTTGCACACGAGGCGTCCATCTGATTGCGCGATACTATAGGGACTTTTAGATTTGCATGTCGACATAGTGGACTGCTACGTGTGACATCTTTTAAGGCAATGTAACGTCCGTTTAAGGCACTGCCAGTAGGGACTTTTAGATTGAGTGGACAAGAACACGACGAACGCCAACTGATCATGCGTGTCAACGTACTCAACTGCCCATGTTGACTACAATTAGAAATCTTTTAGATTGCACTCGACGATATACATGCATGCAGGAAGTAACACTATGAACATGACAGACAAAGAAAGAGATCAAACTATACAGTTCCTCATTCTACCATCAACAAGCCATTTTCGAAATGTAACCAAACTTAATGCATAAGTCTTTGTGTATTGCCTCAATACAAATTATTTCATTCACCTGATAAGAATAATATTAATTCAATAGTTAGAATGCAAACTGCATATTTAAAGTGTCGCTAGGTAGGTCAAGCCATAATGTTTGTTCAACCTGGCAACAACTAATGTATGCAGTTTGGATTCTGTCTATTGACATACTATTATTCTTACCATGGAGAATGAAATAATTTTTATTGAGGCACTTCACAAAGACTTATGCATTAAATTTGGTGACATTACGAAAATTGCCTATTGCTGTGGTAGAACATCCCTTCACTGCTATTATTATGTAAAAATGTGTAGAACAGGTGAATATGCATGTGACACCTGTTCTACACATTTCTACATAATAGCAAGAAAGGGATGTTCCTTTGTCTACCTGAGGAACTGTATATTTTATGCGCACGCGACATATACTAGTACCGTACTAGATTTAGGAAAATCAAGGTTGACGCATTCTCGATCGCCGACTGAGACGACGTAACGCATGTGCAGTGCCTTAAAATGACGTCACATGTTGCAGTCAAAGCTGTCGACGTGCAAATCTAAAAGTCCCTAGTGCCTTAAAAGGACGTCACACGTAGCAGTCCACTTTGTCGACGTGCAAATCTAAAAGTCCCTAATTGCGCTAATACGGCGAGACTACAAAGGCACCAGTAGGATAACTCAACTCAATGTTAACACTGGTCACTTCGTAGTCACTTTATATATGATATCGTTTTCACATGCTGCGTCAAAGACTATGCCAGTCGCTGACGCAACCCTGCGTCATGAAAATAACGCCTCGTGTGCATCGGGATGTAAACATGATTTTATTTATCACTTCTTTGCTATATATTAATGAGAATAGACACGAACAATTTGTCACAGTTCTACAATATTACTAGGGTTAAAAGAATGACCTAACAAAGAGGCAATGAGAAAAATGAAATAAAAATCTAAAGAATTACTTACAACCAAACAAGATTTTTCAAGTCGCTAAAATAATCTCTGTGCACCACACTGATCTTATTACTGTGGAGATATCTGGATGTGAAAATAATAATCAAATGTCACGAAAAATTGTTTACGCATGCATTCCTATCCAATGCCACAACGTACTTCTCTAGATGCATTAGAGGTATTTTCTACCACGAGGTACTCTTATATCTATTGGATTCCCGAGAAGAAGGTGGGAATTTTTGGCTAATTTTAAATTTTGCTAATCATAATCAATGATGGAAATTTTAAGATAAAAGTGTTGAAATAAAAAAGAGAGGATCTTATGCTCAAGAAGGATCCGCTATTCAAATCGCTGCACCGTCGGTAGTTTTCTGGACCAGAAATGATGAAATAAAATGTTTAAAACATGATTTCTAATGATCTTTGATATTTTCTTTCTTAGTACTGTCCCTGAGCTGATGATTTCGGCACGGTGTGCAGTATATATTTTGAATCTCCGCGGAACATTTCGCACCCAATATGTGCATTTTTCCCCTCGAGTTGAATAGGCCGCCGGTGGCATCATAAATCCATCGAGAATGAAATAAAATGTCTACATGATTATCGTCACCATTCAAAATAAATTGGTAACAATATGGATGTAAAACATAAGCAGAAAAGAGGAAGGGAAAGTTTGATATTCCGCTATTTTACACAGATATAAACGTATGATAAGCAGCAAATCTAAATCGGGACAAAGAGAAAAATAATATATAAGGAGAAATTAAAAGGCACTATGCAATTTAAAATCAACGATAAAATAAAAATCGAATTGCAATTGTCGTGATAGCTCATAGAATGACAAGAACATGTACTACGATTGATATGTACTTCAAAAGAATCTTTCTAAGATGAAGAATATATGAATTTCTAAAAATAGATTTTTTAACTGATTTGTTTTGAAATAATAAACTAACTACAAGATTTTTTAACTGATTTGTTTTGAAATAATAAACTAACTACAAGATTTTTTAAATCTTTATGAATTAAAATAAATGATATGAATCTAATTGAATCAAATTATATTCATACCAAAATTACACATCTATAACATGCTTCCACCATTTTCCTTGTTGCACAATAAAGGACTAACTAAAATATGATCATGCCACGTTAATGAAACTTCTCACTCACAATCGTCGTAACTCAGGAAGACCAATAAACGCGCCATTCTCAATAAATATCAACATATTATCATGCAGATACCTAATATATTCGGATAAAAGACGAACAATGAAATAAATCTGAACTTAGTTTGAATGGTTACCAAGAGATATCCTTGGTAACCAAAACAATCTCGAGAAGGTCATCCGTTTTCAAAGAAAAGTTATTTTCTTGGTGTAAGGTATTGTTAACCCACATGAACTGGGCATTTCCAGTGGTTTTAAAGACTTGAGGCGCTCTGAAAAGCATGGCCACACATCCCAAATTACCTAACTACCTATAACACCAGTATTACAAAAAATCAACAATCGTATAAAAACACCAATAAATATTTCTTTTTGCTCATCATTTCCGGCTTCATAATTGATTAATTTTTGTTTAAATCTCGTATACAATTTCATTGAATGCATCTAAAATATGTAATATTAATTTACAGTATTAATGCTAATTTGATTGCTTTCTTTTTTCTTCAAATGTATAATCATAGTATTGATGTATTTTCAGGGACCCATGGAAAACCAACCTTAGTTGAATGGGCTTACTTGGTGATATATTGATAAATGAGTAAACAAAATAAAGTGAAATTAATAATAACGATATTTAGGGGGTGTAATCAGTGTTTATAATTATTGTGATTCATAAGGGCCCTGATGACCCGTCTTCAGCTGACCAACCATGATAAGGCCCTCGAGCATTCAAGGAATCTATTCCTACTGGGTACCCATTTATCGCACCTAGTTGGAGAGTGATGAATGTAGAATAATGCTTTGGATTAGTTTAAACTAATTCTCACTTACAAGTTCTGAAGTCTTGGCATGCCTTGGAAGGATCCTCTAGATAAAGCGGATATCTTGTTCCCTGACAAGTCTCTGCACATAAGAGAAATGAAAATAATAAAGTGTATAAGGTGTAAAAAAAACGAGGGCGTCGATTCACAAAAGAAGGACAAGTTCGCGGACATTTCATTAAAACACATTTTAATTTTGATTTTGACACGTGTTAAAATGGGATGTCGGCGAAGCTATAGCTATATGACGGTATCGTAAAACGATATCCTGAACCCTAAAATGGTTAAATTAGCTGCAGTGCTATACCCGAGACCCACCACCAAATTAACTCTTAACCAAACGATAATAGTAAACATCTTGGTCATTCAGAAAAGCATGCAATCGGTAGTTTGGTCCATAGCGTATTGAAAGTGTGTTTTACTTTTTGTAATTTTTTATTAAAGAATTTGTAATTATTATATTACTTTTGTAATGTTGTCTTCTTTTGTAAACGGACTTGATGAAAAACAGCCTTGGCTGAAAGCAGGTTTTTATTTCCGAATTGCAATAAATAAAACAACAATACAAACAGAGATAGTTTTATAGAGCTCCCGATATATAGGTCTCTCCCATAAACAATTTCTATGGGGGGGGGGGGGAACAATTTGAAGCTCCATGAGTTGACCTTTAATCGTGTATGTGTGCGCGTGTCACAACTTTCTCTCTTAATACGCTATGGTTCCTGTACCCAAGCATCATCACGAGCGTGTCAATCAGTTGGTGATGCATTGTGCAAAACCCGGCCTTTAATCCGCTGTAACATTCAATCACAAGCTAAATCTTGTTTATTACAAATGCTCGTTCAGACATTACGCGGCGAAACAAAAGACAGGATTTATATGCGAATCAAATAAGTCATGGACAAATCAATCCTTGCTTATACAACAACAAAAACAGCCTTTTATAAATGTATCCCTTTTACCTTTTTACGTCAACGATTTGCAAGGGTGGCATGAGAATAGAAGGCTGTTACACTTAAATCATCTCATAGATTAAAAGTCGTCCTGGTTTTCAAGGTTATTTTGGTTTATATTTTGTACTTTATCCGCTCTCTTGTACATCTTTGATCATTTATATAGCGGAGAAGCTGTACAGATCTGTTGTACTTATTACATAGTAGTTGTACCCTGGCTTTAGCTGAGCCGCCTTAAAGCATTTAGGAATTTCTTCCCATTGTACTGATTTCCTCACCTGGGTGGAGAGAGGCAAATGTGCATGTAATTCAAATGCACGGAAATGGTTATCACCTATGTCTGATTAAATTACTAAAGTTAAATGAAATAGTGATAGCGTTGCCTCTTCTATGTTCCATGAGTATTAATGGAAGATGTCACAGGTCTTCATTATATCGCATCATTTATTCCAGTAACATGACTTCCAACCTTGATAGCAAAATACTCTAAAGTGAAGCAGAAAGATTTGAAAGTAGACTGGTGAAAGTTTGAAAGAGATCGGACACAAAAAAGTTATGAATTTTTGAAAGTTGTAATCACTAAAGGAATAGACTTTATAATTTGGGTGAATCGGCAATGACACTGTGATGTAGTTGCGGACAACTTTCCTAATTGTCCCAGCACAAAATTATAAAAATTACAATTTGACAAAAATGTATAACTCAGGACGGTCTATTCTCTTTCGAGGAACTACATGTATAATGAATGCAATTTGCTCACGGGAATCAAACCTCATGACATATTTTATCATCAGAACTCAGAACAATATCCCAATATAAGTCTTTTCAGGAGTTCCCTGTGAGTATGTTATTTCTCTGTTGTATTGAATTTTTATAGCATGTGTCTGTGAACTGTCTGTGATCTATGTGATACCAATTGCCTCTATTACACTTGGCGAGGAAATGCCTGTCCGTGAGGAGAAGCAACCTAAAGTGAGCTATTTTCATAATCTACATTTCCTACATGGTATTGTTTACTTGCACCGTCATCATTGGTCATAAGTTCATATCATCCAATATGGCGTCTTCAGCACAGAGCGATGACGTCACCCAGAGAGTCATGAATGAAAGTTTGAGCGTTTTCAAAATGAGACCAAAAAGCTTTCTTTTGTTACATAAACGCTTGGATGAACAGGCGGCCCGATTGATAATGATGAATTCAACAACAAGTCAAAGGCTGATGAGATCCAACGTCTCTCAACCTTTGTTACGGATTAACGCAGTGAACGCACCACAATGATAGACTTTCGCTTAAATCTGTATCTATAACCTCGATCAGGGATTATGTTGTTTTCCGTAAACATAAACACGTTTTAGAATTTAGGATAGCTTGACTTTGTGTGCACGACAATTGTTGTTTGTCGTAAGTGGTCGACCCCCTCCCTCCCCCTCCCTCCCCCCCCCCCCCCCGCGTAAGCGCCTGGACACGAGTAGGGAAACAGAACGTTGCAATGAATCAGTCGGAAGTGATGACTTAGACGTTGTTAAGAATCAAATAGATATATAGAGATATGAGTGTGAGGTATTGTGAATGGATATTTGAAAGCGTGTTCACTCGTCACACAACATAACTCTTATTTTTATTTTAGCTACGAGGAAGCAAGGTTGCACTGGCAATAAAATACATGAAAGAAAGTATTCCCTTTTCGTTAAGTTTATTGGGTACTGATGAGGCTGGCCGTACACTTGCAAAGTGTAGCCAAGCACAAGCGATGACTCGGAATGAGAATTGAAGATATTGCACGTAGTTACATAGAAATAGTAATGAACGAGAATGGACATGAATAAATGCGATGTACATAATGACATTGAATGAATAGAGCTTACGACAGAATAGAAATGGCGTCGAAAGTCCAATGAAGATGAAGAGAGTTGAGAAGAACGAAGGAAGGGGCTCACGCGATGATTGCGGAGGCTTGAAGGCGGAGATGCAGCTTCGTATTCGTGGCTGAAGAGCGGTGAAGGATCTCGACGCTGACGCTCGTGATAAAGATGTGGTTGAAGCTCTCAGGCGAGAAGAGAAGAGAAGAGAAGAGATGTGGCGCTCGACGACGAAGCAGTGAATCGCTTGATGTCGGAGGCAAGTAGAAATGTAGACATGCAAAGCCGGCACTGGTGCTGAGTAGTAATAGTTGCTCGTTTGATGCACCGGACTTTGATGAAGAAATGTTTAGATGAGCTGCGGTGAAATGATGAGCTCGTGAGTGGAAAGAGCTACCGGAACGAAGAAACTGGCAGCTCCCAGCGGAGAGTCAGGCGCCATGTCGGTGCTGACTATAACGTTCCACTGGGAGACTGCAGCCCGATGAACACGGCAGAGAAAGAGTTGACGTGCCGTAAAATAGACGACAGGCACAGAAGAATGAAGCCTGGAGAGGAAATTATGGAGACGTCTTGACTCGACCAAGGTGAAAGCGGGAGTGGAGAAAAACCTCGTGGAGTTGAAAATACGCGGGGGAACGATGCGCGGAACCACGATGCTCGATTGGAGAGAAATACACACGTGGCCCGAATAATGAATATAAATAAGTACCGTGATGGAAAAATACTGGAGACATGAACGTACGGTAAAAGTAGGGCGAATGTAAGTAGGGCGAATGTAAGAGCCGCTACATTACTCCCCTGCCAGAATTGAAGCTGTGTATGCAATACACAGATGAAAGGCGATAATATATAAATGAGCAAAGTACAAAATGTCACAAGAATCAATGGCTGACAAAAATGTAAAAGTGCATGTATTGTATAGTGTATGCAGTAATTTACAGCAGCCTAGGAAATGTACAAGCATGGCATGTTGAAAGAATGTAATACAACAAGCATGGTATGCGAACGGCTGTTTAGTTGCCAAAAATTGAACAGTGAGTATTGACATGGTATGCATCGAATAAACGTGTATAACTGCAAGAGCATAAAAAACATTCGATACATAATCCAGAATGAAGACATTTTATAAAATATTGTTAAGTCCAAAAAGTCTGGGAATAATAAATTCGTACAACCAAGCTTCAAAGTAAACGAGGGGTCACCACTTTAGAGATATGATTGGTGAACGTACTAGGCCTACATCATGACATAAAAAGGTAAATGGGCATTATCGAATGAATGTAATGACATAAATGGAGCTTACGACAATAGTGGAAATGAGGTCGAAAGTCCAATGAAGATGAAGAGAGTTGAGAAGAACGAAGGAAGGGGCTCACGCGATGATTGCGGAGGCTTGAAGGCGGAGATGCAGCTTCGTATTCGTGGCTGAAGAGCGGTGAAGGATCTCGACGCTGACGCTCGTGATAAAGATGTGGTTGAAGCTCTCAGGCGAGAAGAGAAGAGAAGAGAAGAGATGTGGCGCTCGACGACGAAGCAGTGAATCGCTTGATGTCGGAGGCAAGTAGAAATGTAGACATGCAAAGCCGGCACTGGTGCTGAGTAGTAATAGTTGCTCGTTTGATGCACCGGACTTTGATGAAGAAATGTTTAGATGAGCTGCGGTGAAATGATGAGCTCGTGAGTGGAAAGAGCTACCGGAACGAAGAAACTGGCAGCTCCCAGCGGAGAGTCAGGCGCCATGTCGGTGCTGACTATAACGTTCCACTGGGAGACTGCAGCCCGATGAACACGGCAGAGAAAGAGTTGACGTGCCGTAAAATAGACGACAGGCACAGAAGAATGAAGCCTGGAGAGGAAATTATGGAGACGTCTTGACTCGACCAAGGTGAAAGCGGGAGTGGAGAAAAACCTCGTGGAGTTGAAAATACGCGGGGGAACGATGCGCGGAACCACGATGCTCGATTGGAGAGAAATACACACGTGGCCCGAATAATGAATATAAATAAGTACCGTGATGGAAAAATACTGGAGACATGAACGTACGGTAAAAGTAGGGCGAATGTAAGTAGGGCGAATGTAAGAGCCGCTACAGATAAATTGTCTGTCTTTGCAAAAAATTGCCAGTTTTTCAACATACCAATTTTAGGCTTTTAATGCTTGTTTGCAGTTTGAGAATATCCGTCGATAAGCGATTGATATCCATCGCATCTATGTACGTAAGAGATAGGAGACTGCAAACAGACTTGCGATTGATCCGTATCAATCG